ATATTTTGTACATTTCCTACTGTAAATATATCAAAACTTAATTTTTGATTAGTAATATGCATTGCTAAGAACTTCATTTGGACAACTTTAAAGGCGATTTTCTCAATATTTTGATTTTTTTGCACCCTCAGATTCCAGATTTTCAAATAGTTGTATAAATCGAAAAATTGACCCTTATGATTGGTTTTGTGGTCCAGGGTCACATATAAATAACCAATGATGTGCTTACCCTCGTGTCTGGATCTGTGATCTGATTGAGCCTTTAAAACCCTGCAGGATAATCACAATACAGAAGTTAAAAAACAAAACAAAACCGGTAAGTAAATAAAAAAATAAATGAAAAGGAGTCCTCACGGTGAGGATCTTGTGTATGCGCATTAGGGATATGCCGGTATCAAATTCTCATGTTGCGAATATTCATTACCGTGATATATCGCATTACCGGATACCGGCACAAGTCTAATGCGCATGCTATTCACCTGTGCGCCAGATTGTCGTATGTGTAGGCCACGTTGATGAGCCGCTGGATGAGGTTTGTGCCTTGAACAAGACTTAGAAAAACCTGACAGAGAAGACAATGCCAAAATTAGAAAAAGCTTGCATACACAGAAAAATCCATTTAGAAGCAGTTTCACACCTCTGTGAGACGAGGTATATGCAGGCCCTTCCCATGATCCCCGGCGGTTTTGCGGGACTTCCCTGGCCACGCCCTCTTCCTCTGTGTGTCCGTGAGACCAGACCAGGCGAAAACGTCATGATAGGCCAAGTCCAGATCGGCCGGATCCACCGCAAACTGACAAATGAGCTTCAGCAGACACGCGAGACAGTCCAACAACCACTAGAGCGAGAGAAGAGAAGACACATGATATCCACAGCCGCGGAAAAGAAAGCGCCCTGGACTTATTTCACTTCAAAGTCAAAAGGAAAGAAAAAAAACAAAAACCTTGCAAACGTTACACGACACAGCCTGTTCTTGACACTCACCACAGTCCAGGATTCTTGCTCTTTCGGCTCTAAAATTGCAGAGTTAAAAATGTCCAGCAGAAGCTGAAGACCTCCAGACGACACAAACTACAGGAGAGAGACACAGGTGCAGACTGTCATTCAGTTCAAATACACACTACACAGAGCACATGGACTGGAACATACAGGTGCATCTCAATAAATTAGAATGTCGTGGAAAAGTTCATTTATTTCAGTAATTCAACTGAAATTGTGAAACTCGGGTATTAAATAAATTCAATGCACACAGACTGAAGTAGTTTAAGTCTTTGGTTCTTTTAATTGTGATGATTTTGGCTCACATTTAACAAAAACCCACCAACTCACTATCTCAACAAATTAGAATACTCCATAACTGTGTGCATTGAATTTATTTAATACACGAGTTTCACAATTTGAGTTGAATTACTGAAATAAATGAACTTTTCCACGACATTCTAATTTATTGAGATGCACCTGTACATGTTAACAACTACAAATCGCATAATAGTTTTACTAAAACCCATAGATTAGGTGTTCCAATGACTGCAGTTACCTAGTCCATAAGTCAGTGAACAATAGCAACAGATGGAAGCGTGAGAGGAGGCGTTTGTACCTTACAGCTCCAAGTGTTCTTGCTGTTCTCGATCTGTTCCTCACTGGAGTCGTCAGAGTCTGGATACAGATCACTGTAACTGCCCTGAAACACAAATACACGCACGCTTCAAGAGAAAGAACATCTGCACGTGTGAAGAAGATGATCTGAGTGTGATTCTGGATGTGTACCGTAGACTCGCGGTGAATCCTGCGGTTGGGTTTGCCGAGGGCCTCTATGATTTCTAAAGCGTAGAGCAGCTTATGAGGGCTCTTGATCCTCAACAGATCCTTCCAGCACAAACCGTCAGATCCCTAAAGTCACAATGAACACAAATTTCATGCAGTGCATGGAAAATTTATATATATATTTATATTAGAGAAGCACCGATATGTCAGCAGCCGAAAATGGCATTTTTGGTTTTCGGTTGTCCAGCAGTGTTCAGCACACAGGTTTCCCTCTCCCTCTAGCTGTCGTCACTGTGTGGTGTGACGCTCCTCTCAATATTCTGCTCTATGAATGTGCATTTTAGTAGTTTTATGATGGATGAATGCACTTTTTTAGGCTTCAAAAACAGGGGCACCACTCACTGCCAGCTTGGAAGAGCCAGGACATTTTTAAATATAACTGCGATTGTGTTCGTCTGAAGGAGGAATGTCAGATAGGCCTAGGATGCCCTGAGGGTGAATAAATCATGGGCTAATTTTCATTTTTGGGTGAACTATCCCTTTAATATCAATATATGTTCTGTCCAATTTTGTGTTACTTTCAATAAAAGTGCAGTTATTTTATTGGCTTGTGTTTTTTTAAATTCAGTTTTTTTTCACTGAGTAATCTTATTATAATGTATTCAAGTTTTTTTTTGCCCCAAAAGCTAAAGAATATGTTTAATGCAAATTTAACCTAATGTGAAATTGCTAATAAATTTCTTTGTAGAAAGTTTGTAGAAAGACTGATATATTTTAAAACATACTCCAACGATCTTAGTTTTATTTACTTTGAATAATTTTTGCAGTGTACACATTCAGGCAAACAAACACTAGAAATCTCTTAAATGAATGGGCAGCATGGGTCATGTGACTGACCGTGTCATCGGAGATGTTCTGGAAGGCCTGGAGCATGCTGGGACACGTGGGCAGAAGCATGAGCAGCTCCCACACACGACGGGACAGATTCTCTGCGTGGAGGTGCAGCTCCTCACAGCGAACACTCTGCAGGAGGAAACACACTGGATTGGATGCTGGTTTAACTCAGTCTGGACCGGGTCTGAGGTGTGGAGCTGGATGGTACCTCAGTGCTATGCTGGGGTCTGTCGGGGCCTGGCGGCTTGAAGCAGGCCAGCATCTCCAGTAGGTCGAAGAGGGTGGTGAGATGGGGCTCCTGCAGGAGCAGCAGCATGGGGATGTGCTCTTTCTGAGGGGGCGGCAGACACGACGCCGGCAGTTGGACTCCCTCGCCCTTCCTCTCCCTCCGCGGAGCGCCCAGAGACACGAACACCATCTGACAGCACACACAAACGTCTCTTAGCGTTTTATGTCTAGTGTTGTGGACTCAAAGGTGTATGTGGATTTGTTTGGTCACCTGCATGTCCTTGAAGCCGAGCTCGTGAAGGGTCTTCTCATCATAGTCAGTGGTCAGCTCGTGTCCTGATGAGATCATGCGCACCGGACCCATCAGACCACCTGCACATAAACACACACACACACACACACACACACAAAGACTTTACAAGGTAAATCCAAAACTACAACATGTTGCCATATGAGCATTAATTTGCACTTTTGACTGATTATAAGTTTTAACTAATTCTACAGATTCACAAATGCCAATAAGAAATCACAAAAACAATTATTATAATTATAATTTTATTTTAAATATTTAGAGGAGATTATGCTTAAGTTTATGCTTTAGAAATATTTTAAGCTTCTCACATGTCAAATAAAATTAAATTAAAAAACACTACAGTTACAATAACTACAGTTCTTAGAGCAAAAGAGATTTAGTACAGCAGCAGCTGCTTCCAGCCAGTTTTGCAGTGGTTTTATGTCAACACACACATATATATTACATATAATATGTATATTAATTAATAAAATACCCCCCTCCCCCCAAAAAAGAGAAAATAGAACAATTTACATATGAACAAATATTGTAAACATAAATGACATTAATATTATAATACACATTGCATTTCTTTTTCCTTTCCTCTAAGGCTATTTGTTTTTGTTTATTTGCTTATGGGCTTATGTGTGCTATATACATCAGACAGTCAGAGTCTGTGGATGTTCTATTTGAGGCTCAGATGCGATAGAGTCACAGTCGTCTGTTTTCTGTGCATGTACCTGGGAAGTCCTGCTGGCGGCTGGTTTGACCGAACTCCTGCAGCTGTGCCTGCTGGCTGAGCTGATCCTTCTGAAGATTCTCATACCAGTGCGTGACCTCTGCCCTCAGATCAGCCACCTGATCGCTGGGGTACATCTCGATGGTCATCTACACAGACACAGAAAGCTTTATTAAACTCAGCGTGATGTCTGAGCAGACACTAGCGATGAGGAAGATGATGATGATGATGAAGGCGCACCTTGTCAGGCAGTCCTGCTGGCTGACACACGATCCTGAGCGGGAGAGACTGTTTATCACTGAGAGCTTTCAGATGACTGCTGATGCCCGTGCCCTCGATCTGCCACTGCCGCAGGTGATACGCAAACCTGAACACACACACATTCAATTCAGCGTCCGTTTACATTCTAATATAAAAAAAAGGAGAAATGCCACTTCTCGTGTAAACATGGTTTTTGTGTGTACCTGCGTCTGAAGGCCTCCAGGTGTGTTTTGAGCAGCAGCAGTCCTCTCTCTATGATGGTCAGGCTGGAGTGGGCGTCTTTCTCCAGGTTAGCAGACGCCATCATCAAGCTCTCCATACACTTACTGATGAACTCCTGCTCCTTCTCCAGACCCGTCTTACCTGCGGTCACACAGACTAATAAATACATTGCATTACAAACTCACTTATATTCATAATACAAAACAAAAAACACAGCCATCACACTACAATGGGACAAACTGCAGATTTAATCAGTGTCATCAAATGATGTAAAAACACCTGCCATTTGAAGGATTTGTCAGTTCATCAAAATCAAAACTCAACCTTCATTAATTTATTTGTTTATTTATTCACCTATTCACTCTTTCATTATCTATCTATCTATCGTTCTATCTATCTATCTATCTATCTATCGTTCTATCTATCTATCTATCTATTGTTCTATCTATTGTTCTATCTATCTATCTTAGTAGTTTAAACTAAAAGAGACATTAAATTTCTTACAACCAGTTATTTCAGCATTATTTATATACTATCATAGTTTTTATAATTTTTTAAATAAATTTAATAAATATATTTTTAGTTTTAATTTTAATTTTAGTTTATTATTATTTTTTTTATTTTTTTAATATTACTATTTAGGCTTAATTTATTCTTCTTTCAGCTTAGTAGTTATTAACTTCCAGGCAACATTTCTAATATTTGTTTACTTTCAATTTTTTTCCATCTAACATTTACATTTTATTTCTGCTCTATTTCAATTAACAAATATGTTTTTAAATATTTTTAGTTAAAAATAATAACCCTTTTACAACATAACATAACAAAAAAATCAAAATCAATACTTTCTTGGTAAAACTTTTAAAAAACATTTAAAGTACTTTAAAAAATGCCTAGTAGCATTAAAAGCTAAAAAAAAAGCTTCTTCCTACATCTAATCTAATCTAAATCAACACTGATCTGACATCAGCTGAATAACCGAACACTAGTTTGCTTATCACTGAATTGAACTTGTTTCATAATGAATGAACTTTACACAGTTACTGAACTGAACCAACACTGAACTGATCTGAAGTGCATAATGACACATTAATCAGTCACACCTGATTTAGAGCAGAATTTGGATTTGCCTCATTTTTGAAGTTTGAATCGGATTCTGTTACTTTGTGTTTAATACTGTGAAACTGTCTTTAAACAATCTCTACTGCATAAAGTGCTATAAAAATAAAGGTGACTTGACGACTGAAACTGAGGGGTTATCAAAATGTAAATATTCAATGGTTATGAATGATACAACATATGTAAGTGTTTGGTGTTTACTGACCGCTGATGTAATAGGAGTTGATGTACTGGATGGCAGCGCGGCTGATGTCTGCAGACTGAGCCCTCAACGCGATTCCCCACAGCTGATCCATACCACACAACTACAGAAAGACAGAGAGAACGGTCAGGGAGAACACATCGAGAGAAACCGTAGAGATTTTGAGATCCGCTGCTGTGAACCTCGCAGTTGGAGCTGCTGTCGTAGGCGCTGGTGGCCAGACGAGCCAGATTGCACAGATGCTGAAACAAATTGAGTCCCGTCATACTGATCGTCTCCGGCTTCAGCTGAGGCATCTGAGAGAGAGAACCACCTGATGAAAGATTCATTCTCATGGCACGCACTGCATAAAAGATGTGTTTCAACGATACGGTAGCCAGACCTTCTCCAGGAAGAGGTGTTTGTATGTCTCCATGCCCATGGCGTGCTGGTCTTTACTGCGGACCTGGTTTAGGAACCAGTGCAGGGCGTCGTCGTAACACTCGGAGTCCTCCACTAAACAGTGCCACAGGATGTCCACCTGCTCCAGACTCAACCCTGACACACACACACACGGGATATTCGTATAGTTACATATGGGGCAATTCTCATATATGCAGTGACGTGTGAAAGATAAAGACGCTCACTGAAGTGGTCAGGTGATCCGAGCGTTGAGAACACACAGGTGAGGAACTGCAGACGCACCTGCACCTCTGCACTGTGACTGTACCTGAGACACATAGGATGTTAACACTGCACTTCATATGCAAAATTCAGACAAAAAATTGTTTAAAAAAAAAAAAGAAATTAATACATTTAGTCAGCAGGGATGCACTGAATTGATCAGAAGTGACAGGGAAGACACTTTTTGACAGGTTACAAATATTAGAACTTTCTATTCTTCTATCAAAGAATCCTGAAAAAAATGGAAATTTCTGATTTCTGAACTGATTTCAATAATGATAATAATTATAAGAAGAAATGTTTCTTGAGCAGCAAATCAGCATATTAGAATGATTTCTGAAGGATCATGTGACACTGAAGACTGCAGTAATGATCACAGCAATAAATTACATATTCATATATATTGAAATAGAAAACAGTTGTTTTAAATTGTAATAATATTTTACAATATTGTAGTTTTTACTGTGTTTTTGCATAATGTTTCAAAAACATTGAAAAAAATCCTACCGACCCCAAATTTTGAAGAGTACTATAGAAATAGAGACACTAAACTTACAGAGCGAATTTGTGGTGCTGTTCTCTCACTTCCTGGATATAGTGTAACAGATCATCAAAAAAGAGCTTCATCATGTGCAGTTCCTTTTCCGCCCACCTGTAGCACAGGAAGAACTCTCAAAATCACCCGTAAAGTGGTCTAAGTTTCAAGTAATGACAACATGGAGAGCAGTGGTGGGCGGAGTTTTTCTTACATGGTTATCCAGTGAGTGTCGTAGCTGGAGCCGAACTGCTGGAAGGTCCCGAAGAGCTTCGGCAGCAAACGCAAAGACACCACCACTGACCTGATGAACACAAGCAGAAACAAAACAATCAAATATCTCCTACTGGAGAAACCCAAACCTCTTCAGCAGTTCATATATCTGTGATGGTCTCACCGGTGGTTGGCGAGGTTCTCCAGACAGCCCTCGATGAAACGCATGCGGATCTGACGGTCAGTGAACCAGCAGACCAGAGAGCACAACAGCTTCTCTGCCTCATTAATCAAGCCTTCTGATAGGTGGATCTAGTCACCGAGACAACACGAGAATCACATCACTGACTATAAATGTTAAATACTTCGAATAGTCTGCTGTGAGGTAAACATACCGCATTGTCATCCTGGACCAGGTCCCACAGAAGGGTGTTGCCTTTCTTGCAGACGTTGTCCAGGTTGATGTCGGTCACCGCGTGCGCAGAGTACTGATGTTTGTGCACCGCCGGACCTGGAGCAGACGTTTAGAAAAACATCAGACTGAAACTATCGTGTGACTTTTGTTTGAAATCAGATTTGAGTAAGTTTAGGTAAAATGAACTGTAGAATCAAGAACAACATCATCATCACAACCACTCAGAAGACCCTTGAAACCATCAAAACATCCTAATAACCACAGGGCAACACCTCAGAAATCCAGCAACTATCCAAAACACAACTACCACAGAGCAACACTATAGCAACCACTTAGAATACCTTACAAACCTAGCAACACCCTAAAAACCACTCAGAACACAGGGCTCCAGACAAAAAAATAAATTAATTAATTAAGGCGCCATTGGCTCAAATAAGAAACAAAATTAGGCATCAAATTATTTTTTTAAGTGCCACAGAATAAATGTGTTTTATATCTTTTTTTAACACTTTAACCTTTCAGTCATACTTGATGTTTATGTTTCATCTTGTCTTGATCAGCATTTTAATCCATCTTGTAGATGTCCTGGGAACTAAGGTTCACTAACTAAACGTCTTTTCCAACTTGAGAACTATGTAACGGTCACAAAGAATTGATTATTACACAGAATCTGTGCCAATATCACAGACCATAATTATATCAGCATCACTTGACCCTTGAGTGTAGTTTGAGCTCCTCCTCAATGCATCCCATAAATGCTGTCATATGTCCTGCACACATCCAGTCTGTTTTTCTTCATCAGTAACATGCAGTTATATAGGAGGTGTTGAATTTTACTTTTAGCTCCTTGCATTCTTTCTTATCAAGTGGACAACAGGTTAAGTAAAAATAGGAATATGCAATATAGCGCATAAATTTGGCAAAATGCTCCTCTTTATAGTTATTTTTTCTAGCTGACTAATGAGCTTATGGACGCCGAATGGGTATTCTGTGGTAAATGTATTGTTACGTGGCATTGTTTACAAGCTTTACACATTTTCCGCAGTTTGAAACACTGAATGAGCGATTACATGAGACATTTCAGTAAGATGTACTGTAGGCTCTCTTATAATATACCTATTGATGTTCATTCATGTTTATTTCATACTATAGTAGTAAAGAGAAAGATATGATGGGTTCACGTGTTGCTTGAACTGAGGAGCTAAAACGATCGCTCATGCCGCATTAAAGAGCACCAAAATGGCTTTTTGTTTGACTTTTTGTTTGACAAAATTTATTGTTTGACTTTCATTATGAATTTGGCAGAATTTTAAAGCTGATCCTTCGTTTATTAAAAGGCAACAGAGCACAAAGCTTTTTGCGATTATTGGACGTCAAGTGCGCTACAAATAAACTAAAGTTCACGCATTAAAGGCACAATATGTAATTTTTTGCCACTAGAGGGCGCGTATTCAAAACAAACAAAGGCGTAGTTTGATGACACCGTGACTGAGTGTGGAATCATGGGAGTTGTAGTCTTCATCCCCACAGCCGAAGCAATCCGATGGGACTCGGGCAGAAATCATGTTCATGGATGAGCTAATGTATTAATGATTTATTAACGTCGTAGTATGAAGCATGGTGAGTAACACTCTAAAGAGAAAGGAAAAAATGAAATCGCATCATATGACCCCTTTAATAAAAAAATCTTGCATATTGTGCCTTTAACAGAACACAGCATTTAGACTAAAGATCCTGATTACAAGAAGCCATATTAGTATTGATTATAAATGAGAATTGTTAACGATATTGCTAAAATCCACACTGCTGACAGCTTTACCTGTTGTAGTTTGTTCAAGTTGTGCATGAAATAGACCCTGCCTTTCTGCACTTTTACTTCGCACGTCTCCATCATTTTCTCTCTCTCTCATGCTGCCACAGCTGGAGCTGCTTTCAGCAGGTGTGCCGTCAGCGCTGGTGTTCAGCAGACATGAGGATTGTTTTTCCTCTAAAACTTTGATGCGCATCGTCTCAGTTTATTACGTCAACATAA